AAAAAAATATTTAACTACTTAAATATTCCTAGAATGGATCCTATGGAATGGCTACTGATAGCTATTGCATTCATTAAACACATACTTCTTTGATTATCAGGTCCTTTCTCTGCAAAGTTTTAAATAGCTGCTTATTTACAATTTTAAGCCTACACCCTGAAATTACACATGGTTGTAATTTATTGTATTTAACAATGACTTAGCAGGTAGTCCAGCTGGAATGTCAGTGATAAAAGCCTGGTGTTGATGTCTCTCTGTGCTTTAATTTGTTTGGTGTGCTGTCATTTTGCATGGCAGCGTGTTTCATTGTATATTTACAGCAATTGTGTCACACCATTGGGATTTCCCTTATGGAATGAGATCTCAGTGTATATATGTGTACTTCCTCATAAACCTTGCTAATTACTAAAATACGGTTTAAAGAAAGGTAAAACTCATCTCTTTGTTCTTTCTATTGAATGTTTCCACTTAATTTTTTCTCTCAGATTTTGATTTTGAGTGTTTTCATCTAGTTCTCCCACCTTCATTTCACTATGGAATGTGGCAGTCAAAGGTAGGGAAAAGAATGAAGTCTCATGGTTAATTATTGAAGCTGTCTCAGACTTGGCATGTTTTGCTTGTTGTTGTTGTTGTTGTTTGCCGTCGAGTCGACCCCTCCTTGGGTTTCCGAGGCAGTATCACTACGGAAGTAGGATTGCCCAACCTTCCTTCCGAGGAGTGGCTGGTGGGTTTGAACCGCCAGCCTTCCGGTGAGCAGTCAAGTGCCTTAGGCACTATGCTACCAGAGCTCCTATGTTTTGCTTATTCATATGTAATTCAGTTTTAAAGTCTTTTATTAATACACTTTTAAAGTGAAAAGAGCTATACATTGTTGTTGGTTACTTAAAATTCCCACATTTATGACCTTCAAGACCCCAGATATTTTATTATATCTTGGACTTCCTATTTTAATTTTTTAAACTTTTATTGCTTCATTTCAAGCAGTCAGTTATGTTATCTCTGACAGTAAAACCTCTTCAAAGACACTTATAATTTCAGGGCTCCTTTACCTTTACCATAGTGTTAAGCACTGAGCTACTAACCAGAAGGTTGGTAGTTTGAACCCATCAGCTGCATCACTGAAAGAGGAGGCAGTCTGTTTCTGTAAAGATTGACAGCCTTAGAAACCCTATGGGGGAGTTCTGTCCCATCCTACAGGGTTGCCAAGAATTGGAATTGATTTGATGATGGTGGGTTTGGGTTTTGGTGGCTTTACCTTTACCAAAAGTAAAGCTCCATAAGTTTAGCTTCAAACTGTGTGAATCCAAAATATTTGCTGGTTTAGAGTAAGTCATTGATTTAGGTACTGCCTCTCTACTTTGTGTAGGGTAACGAGACATCTCTTCTTGGAGGATAGAATGCAGGTTTGTTGGAGACAGAGCCGTTTCCCTCTCTGCGGGGAGTGTGTTGCACTGTTTGGCAGAATGCTCTCTGGCCAACCAAAGAGTGAATTTAAATGCAGCATTGTCCAGCACGTTTTCCTTTCTTGAGTAGGTTTTTTTTTTTTTTTGTAAACTTGGAAATGAACTCTTTTATCAAATATTTCGTTTTTGAGGCGTTCAGGCTGGGCTGCCAGCCTACAGTAGTATGTAAGAGGAACGGTAACTGGCATTAAGGCATGCACTTAAGCAATAGAGGAATTTACTTTTCAGTGTCTCCCAAGGGCCATGAGGATGCACACTTATTTATCCAGAGAGTATGGACCTCACATATGTTTGTCCCGAGGGTGTGACTCTGTGGAGGAGAGCACTTATTGGTAAGTCTCGAACTCTTATTGCGTTCTGTTTCAGAGCATCTGTTTAGAAGTCAGTTGATTTTCAGCAGTGATAAAATCCTTAGCCTGTGCTGGTTTCTTAACAGTGGACAGTCCCAGATGTTGAAGTCAGCACAGCAAGAGAAAAACCCAAATCCTGATAAGACTTGAGGATTTTTCGAAAATTAAATGCAAAATAGTTGGGGCAAATGTTGCTGCGGGAGTGAAGACTAAGTAATACGAACGAAGAGATGACGCTGGAGAGCCTCTCCTGTTCTTCTTTGGCATAAAGTTGGCTTATATGCAAAACCTGGGACTTGCCTGACTTTAAAAAGGGACAGACTGACATCTTTTGGAACTTAAAACAGCAGACTCATGTAAACAGAATGTCCATTTGGCCCTCACAATTTAATATTTCTTCGCAAAGTCCTTTCTGTTACTAAATAAAAGCGGTGTCTTCTGAAATCTGTCACTGATGTGTATATACTGGCCACATCAAATCTTCTGAGAGTGTTTCCCAAATCCAAAATTGTTAGTGTGGAACAAATGTTTGTTTTGGAAACCGTAAAAGAGGTGGGGGGAAGGGAGGGCGGGTTTCAGAGCCAATTGCTATTTCGGTTTTACGTCTCACCGTTCCTTCTCTTTTTCTTTCAGCCAAGAATTCTTAGGATATTTATTGATGATTGGTTGAAAACCTTGTAACATTTTTGTACAGTGTGCGACAAAAAGATTCAAACAAGACAAAGCAACAATCAGCCACCCTAACTTGTTTTCTGGGAGTTAAGCATTATCACATAAATACTTGCCCACTGCCAGATTCCAACCACCAGCCCTTGAAGGCACAGGGTTGATTTAAGCCAAGTTTTAATAAGTGATGAATGGAAGGATAGAATCTGTAAGCAAGAACTCGGTGCTTAGCAGTGCTTTGGCATCAGGCAGAGAAAAGTTAAGTCTTATTCTTGGTGATTATTAGCTTGCTGGCCTTAGCAAAATCCTTGATTGTCTGTCTGTTTCTTTGACTATAAAATGACCTAGGAGATAACATGTATTATCTATAGTACTATGACTGACAGTGGTCCCACTATGCTGCATCAAAGGAGTCTTAAGTTCATGGTCTAAGTTACAGTCACATAGATGCTGCAGTGGTAGGTGACGGGCACACCTCCTTATTGTCATGATAGAAAATTGAGAATGCATTTCTGGGTAATGCAGTTTTACTTTGCTTTCTGCCTAATTCCCTAGTGCTCAGACTAACCTCAGAATCTCTTAATTCCTCACCTTTTAGGAGGTGAGGAAAGTGCATGTGAAGTGAGAGTGTCAAGGGCAGGAAGTTCAGGTGAAAGGGTTAGAGGTACTCCGTTATTCAGTAATTACAGAATGCCTACTATGTGCTAGGAGTTGGGGATGTAGTCGTGAACAAAATGGATTAAAAGTCTTGCCCTCATGAAGCTCAAGTTTAGCTGTTGGGGCTAGACAGTAAACAATGAATATATGGTGTGATGGATGATGCTATGGAGACAAATGAATCTGTAATGGGAGTGGTGAGTGCTGGGGCAAGGGGGCGGGTTTTCAGTTTAAGACAAGTCCTCATTGAAAAGATGGTATTCCAGTAGATGCTTGAAAGAAGTCAGGGAGCCAGCTGTGTGGGCATTTGGGGAAAAGGGAAACGAGGGATGGGAAGCTATTGGAGGATTTTGAACAGAGAAGTGCAATGATCTGACTTAATATTTTGAAAGACTCTCTCTGGCTTCTTTATAGAGAATCGCTACTAGAGTAATAACGGAAGCAGGGACTGGAATACTGTAGATGAGGTGACAGTGGCTCAGATGAGGGTGGTTACCGTGGAAGTGGTAAGTTGTCAGATTTGGGATGTATTTTGAAGGGAGAGCGGTCAGGACTTATTGATGACTTGATGGGGGAATGAGGAGCGTCGGGAACGGCCTCTGAGTTTGTGGGCTGAGCCATGAGAAGGTACTGCTGTTTACTGAGATGAGGGGGATCGCAGGAGGGGCAGGGGTGGGAGAGAGTAGTAGCTCAGTTGGGGCAAGATAGGTGTGAGTTTCCTGTTAGATATCCAAGGGTTAAATGGACAGGAGAGAGTTGGCTGTACAGTGGTTGTTATTAAAGTGTTCATTTGACACGATAAATTGGTAAGTAAGAAGAGTTCTGTTTAAATGATATACCCAGAGATTTTCTGGTACTTGCATATATAGTATCTGATGGGAATGTTTGTAAAATCTCTCCGAAGATGATGCTACAATTCAGTTTACACATTAGGTGACAATTCAGAAAAGTTAATTTCCTAAGATCACAGATACGAAACTTGCTTTATAACTTGAAGTCATCTATTATAACTAATTATAACTAGTACTCTATGTTACTTACAAAATAGACATATAGGCGAGGTTCTTAAAATTGTCATAATAGAGTTAACAAAGTAGTGCTTTAAGCCACCTTTCTATTGCACACACATACACACACACTTCTAAAGAAGTACAGGTAATACCTTTAAGGACTATTAAAAAAAAGATAGTTTTTTTTTTTTTTGTCTCTTTAGTGTGTAGAAAACTAACATTCTAATGTAGATTTTAACTTCCCTTATGAGTTTTAAAATTTTTTCCACGGGGAAAGGAGATGACTGAACATAATTAAAAAAAGGTATCTGATATTTAAAAAAATCTTTTAAATACAATTTACATCATGGTAATTTATATTCTTGTTAGTTGTTTAAAGGGGAAAAATAAATCCATATGCACAATCTGAAGTGTATTCCTTTTCTGTAGCAGAAGGCGTAGTTTTTGGTTTTGGAAGCAGAAAACAAGGTAGTCACTTGTGATTGTTGAAGCTGTGACATTACTGTACTGGGTAGGATGACAGAGTATTAATGCACGCAGCAAAATAGAGAGATCTATCAGAAACCCCTCCTCTGTTATTTCAACGCTTAGGTACTGTTTATAGTTTCCATTCAGTAAAGCACATAGAGTGCTCTTTCATTCACTAAATTCCTAAGACATTTAAGTTTTGTGTGGTCTTTTGAGTAAAATGAACAGAAGTAGATTAACATAGTTTCCTTCACTAAAGTAATAAGAGGAAATACATATCTTAAAAAGTCTAGTATGAATGATTTTGGTTGCTATGATCTTGGATTTTTAAAAATACTAACTTCTGATCTCTCACCTATATAAATAGCAAACTCTCTGTTACACAGGAAGCCCTGCATGTTGCGGGGGTGGAAACGCAGTTAACGGCTGCTGCGTCATTTTTGACCATTCTACACGAGGAGTCAGTGTCCATTCACGCATATGCCCACTCCTTTCTACAAGTCATCCTGCTGCACCTGGAGCACAGGGATGCAGGTCAGGGGCCTGGCATGTTTATTGCACACTTACTCACTGTGTCTCGTATGTGGGCTGTGGAGGTATTTTGAATCCTATTAACCTGATGAAGATAGCCGAATGGGACCATGGTGCCCGGGAGCTGATCGGTGGTACGACTTACACAGCCCTGGCTATCTCCGTATAGAAACGTCAACATTCAGGATCTTTGAAAGCTGAAGGCCCGCCTTCTTATGATCTTTTTAGTGCTTTACCATATTTACGTTTATAGTATTACCATTCAGCAGAAATGCACTGTTTGAGTTAAAGGTTACCCCTGACAGATTATTATTTTTTTAAAAATAAGGAGTTCTGGTGGCGTAGTGGGTATTTTTAAAAATATAAACCAATAATTTTTCCAGATGTTAGCTAAGGCAAAGAGAGAAACTTCTTAGAATATTAAGAAAAGTTATTATTCTCATTGAATCATTGATTGTTATTGTAACTTAATTGGCTGAGTGGAAACTGAATTTGTGAGCCATTTAATTTTGCATGTTCTGTCTGTGTCAATCAGGTGTTAGTAATGCATGGCTGGAAACTCTTCTGTCTGTCATAGAAGCATTGCCAAAGGAAACCCTAAGGCATGAGGTAATATACATACATACATACATATATATATGCATTTGTTTGTTTGTTTGTTTGGTAACTAGTAATGCCAGTCACTAGATTTTTTTCTTTGTTTCTTTCCAAAATGGTACTTTAAAAAAGGAAAAAGTTATTGCCCATTCCAAAAGCAACATGTGGTCATCACAGACAATTTGAGTACTACAGAGAATGGAAGGAAGCGCAGGAGCCCCTGGTCCTGCTCGCTGTTGCTGCTTTAAGTTCTACTGTATTTCCTTTCTGGCTTTCTTCTCTGTTCCTGGCGGCTGTTTGCCACATCAGGGCTCATCCTGAATTGATGTCTGCTGGCTTTGCACTTAGAATTACCTCTTTGGCAAACTGTTTCACCTACTTGTTAAAAGGGATGCCTGATTTCAGTATTTGCCTGTCAAAGCAAGGTGTTAATGAACATTTCTGTGGAGCTTTTTCTTTTTTTCAGATAATTTCCTTAACTGTAACTTCCAAACAAGAGGAATTACTGGATCAGAGGGCATTATTAAGGCTCTCGGCCAACAATATGTGAGAATGCCTTGCCTGGACTTTTAGAAGTGATGAATATTCCAGTTAAATTTGATGTGCAAAAAAATGGAATTATATATTAATTGGAATTTTTATGTGGTTGAATGTTTTCTCATAAATTATATGTAAACTGGGTCTATTTCTTTCTCTTGGAATTATTTTATCCAAATTGATCCTGTCCTTTCATTACTATTTATATATACTATTAGATTTCCAGTCCTTCGTGTATTTGTTGCAAATATTTTTCTGTTTGTTGTTTGCCTTTTAACTTTCAACATTGCTGAATATACCCTTTTCAGTAAATTAAGATGAGAAACTAGGGAAACAGAAAGGAACTTTTTCTTCTTATGCAATGGTTTTGCCTCCTTTTACATATCCTTTTGAATATGTCATGGCTGAAAGAAACAGGTAAGTGTTCTCTAAGGATTTAATTAAAGCATCTTTGTCCTCAGGATGCCAGAATACTTGCTTTAAAATGGAAGAGTCATCCAGTTATAAGGATATTTGTGTAACTGATGAAAAACATCTGGATGGTTATATATATTTATATGTTGAACATAATGCAGACATGTGTTGTTTCTGTATTTTGAAGAGCAATATGCAGTTGAATGCAATTTTTACTCCGATTATTTAAAATGTGATTTTTAAGATTTTAAATAAACATTTTATTTTGACTCTTTCCATTTTTTTTTTTCTTTAAAGAGGAGAGAAAATTATTTATTGCAAAGTGGCAATGGAAGGAGACAGGGGTCTGTACCCAAATCTGACTCCTCTTTCAATTTTAAATTACATTATGTATCACTTTGCAGTCAGCAATTTTGATTACTTTGTTGAAAGGAAATAAAAAAGTTGACACTTTTATTAGAATCATGGAATTTTAGAACTTGAGTCTGAGTACCATATTCCTATTTCCACTTTATATAGATAGGCGATCCAGGGATGAGAAATAGCAAGACCACTTGGGCAAATTAAAGAGCTGAATTCAGAATTAGGGTTTGATCTTCACAGTTCTTTACAGTTTATCATGCTGTTGAGTTGCTGAGTGCCTAGCATATTCCTAATACAGTGTCAGGCTTGGGTTGTTGTATTTAAGTGACAATGAATACAATTCATTTGAAGCTATAATCTTTTGCATCTCTTTAGGATAAACATAAAGTCAAGCTTTATTAAATAAAAATAAACTTCAAGACATCTGGTAATTAATTTGCCTTTTTCTTTTGAAAATGCGTGCTTCAAAATTATACTTTATATTTATACAGATGATTGCAGAATTCTGCATAAACTTTAATTCAATTATTTTGATTCTTGATTGTTTTTAATGTGTAATTTATCATCATCTTTACCTTTATAATCAAGAAAGCAAATAAAATCATCTGAGGTATGAATAACCATGCACTTCAAATTATAATTCACATTCTTAGAAACCTTCCTCTCTTTCTCTCACTGCCGTTGAGTAGAATCCGACTCATAGCAACCCCTTCTTGGGTTTCCGAGGCAGTATCACTATGGAGGTAGATTGCCTTATCTGCCTTCTGAGGAGTGGCTGGTGGGTTTGAACAGCCAGCCTTCTGGTTAACAGTCAAATGCCTTAGGCACTACGCCGCCAGAGCTCTATAATATTTTCTGAAGAAAACAGTTGACATCAGTGTCAAGAACGTATAAACCTTTGTGAATTTGTTCTCTAAATCTTTTCTTTCTAGATTTTGAATCCACTGGTTTCCAAGGCACAACTATCCCAAACAGTACAGTCTCGTTTAGTTAGTTGTAAAATTTTAGGAAAATTGACCAACAAATTTGATGCCCATATGTGAGTATTTGTATATAATTTATTGTTCATTTTATTAAATTCAATTTAAAACATATGACTGTATGCTTAGCAATTTTATTAGGTTTGTATTATTCCATATTACACAAAAGTTTAATTGTTTTAACTTTATAGAATTCTGACAGAAATCTGCTTTCTCAGATGCATTTTCTCTTGATCTCGTGGCTTTTAAAAATTAATGAGGTTGACTTTCTTTTTATTTCCCATCTTACTCTTTCCCTGTCCCATATCCAGTGTACCGCTGAGAATAAAAGTTATTGTATAAACTTCAAAAATTGGTAAACATAGCATAAAATTAGAATTCCTCCTTTTTTTTTCCCCATTATTGAGTTTATTATTTTGAATGATTTATCTTGTTTTGGAACTCTTATGGAGAATGTTCATAAGTTATGTGTTGTTCTCTATCCAGATCATAAATATCAACTGGAAGGGAGTGTTACCTAGTTATAACACAAGAGTAAAGTATAAAATTGAAGGAGAATTTGGTTGGTGGGGTTGTTAGATAGCCACTTGTGATAGTCTTTATTTTAGCATCAACTGCATTTGACAAAATTAATCATTATTTTGAAAATATCCAGCAATATACATAATTTAAAAGTAGTTAATGATGCCATCCAAATTTGATGAGACACTTAAAAATATATTGTAAACCATAAAGCTTTACATGGAAGTATATTTGTTATTATTAGGGTAAACTAATATTTCAATAGTCCATGAGAGCTAAAGAACAAACTTGAGTATCTAAACTCAAAAAAAGAAAACTCACTGCTGTCAAGTTGGATCTGACTAATAGTGACCCCTCCTTGGGTTTCCAAGGCGGTATCACTATGGAAGTAGATTGCCCAACCTTCCTTCCGAGGAGTAGCTGGTGGGTTTGAACCGCCAGCCTTCTGGCTAGCAGTCAGAGGTGTAGGCACTATGCCACCATCTCAACAATAGATTTGATGCACTGAACAGTAATGGCTGAAGACCAGATGAGTTGTGGGATGGCATCAAGCGCGTCATATGTGAAGAAAGCAAAAGCTTGTTTAAAACACAACAGAACAACATAACGCACTGCTGCTGAGTCAGATCCAACTCATAGCAACCCCTCCTTGGGTTTCTGAGGTGGTATCACTACGGAAGTAGATTGTCCAACCTTCTTTCCGAGGAGTGGCTGGTGGGTTTGAACCACCAGCCTTCTGGTTAGCACTAAGCTACCAGAGAAAAAAGACCAAAATGGATGTCAGAAGAGACTCTTGAAACTTGCTCTTGAATGGAGAATACCTAAAGTGAATGGAGGAAGCGATGAAGTAAAAGCACAAAACAGAAGATTTCAAAGGGTGGCTCAAGAAAACAAAGAAAAGTATTATAATAAAATATGGAAAGACCTGGAGTTTAAAAAAAAAAGAGAGAAGAATACACTCAGCATTTCTCAAGCTAAAAGAACTAAAGAAAAAATTCAAGCCTGAAGTGGCAGTATTCTTTGAGTAAAATATTGAACGATGCAGGAAGCATCAAAAGAAGATGAAAGGAATAGACAAAGTCATGGAACCAAAAAGAATTGGTCGACATTTGGCCATTTCAAGAGGCAGCATATGATCAAGAATGGATGGTATTGAAGAAAGAAATTCAAGATGTAGTGAACGAATAGGCCAAACACAAGGCTCCAGAAATTGATGGAATGCTGATTGAGATGTTTTGACAAATAGATGCAATGCTGGAAATGACTGCTTGTCTCTGCCAAGAAATTTGAAAAAGAGCTACCTGGCCACCTGACTGGAAGCAATCCATTCCACAGAAAGATGATCCAATGGAATGCAGAAATTATCAAACAATCTCATTAATATCACACACAAGTAAAAATATATTGAAAATAATTTAAAAATGGTTGCAGCAGTACATTGACAGGGAACTGCTAGAAATTCAAGCCAAACTCGGGGGAGTCTGATACCATTTCTGATGTCAGATGGATCTTGGTTAAAAGCAAAGAATAGTAGAAAGATGTTTACCTGTGTTTTATTGACTATGCAGAGGCATCAACTGTGTGGATCATAATGAATTATGGATAACATTATGAAGAATAAGAATTCCAGAACACTTAATTATGCTCAGGAGGTACATAGACCAAGAGGCTGTTGTTTGAACAGAACAAGGGGATACTGCATGGTTTAAAATTAGGAAGGGTGTTATCTGGCTGTATCTTTCACCATATTCATTTGATCTCTATGCTGAGCAAATAATCCAAGAAGCTGGACTAAAGAAGAGCATGGCAGCAGGATTAGAGGAAGACTCATTAACAACCTGCGTATGCAGATGAAACCACCTTGCTTGCATTTGAAGCGCTTACTGATGAAGATCAAAGACTACAGCCTTCAATATGGAGAACACCTTAACATAAGGAAAACAAAAAATTCTCACAAGTGGGCCAGTAGCAACATCACAATAAATGGAGAAAATATTAAAGTTGTCAAGGATTTCATTTTACTTGGATCCACAATCAACATTCAGGGAAGCGACAATCAAGCAACGAAGTAATGAATTGCATTTGGGCAAATCTGCTGCAAAAGACTTCTTAAAAGTATTAAAAAGCAAAGATGTCAAGGTGTGCTTGACCTCAGCCTTGGTATCTTCAGTTGCCTCATATGTGTATGGAAGCTGGACACTGAATAAGGAAGACTGAAAGAAAATGGATACATTTGACTTGTGTTGGTGAAGAATATTGACTATACCACGGGCTGGCAGAACAAGCACATCTGTCTTTTAAGAAGTGCAACCAATTAGGATTCTTCTTAGAAGCGAAGATGGTGAGACTTCATGTTATGTACTTTGGACATGCCATCAGGAGGGACCAGTCCCAGGGGAAGAGCATCATGCTGGATAAAGTAGAGTCAGTGAAAAAGGGGAGGACCCTCAATGAGGTGGATTGCCACAGTGACTGCAACGATGTTCAAACATAGCAATGATTGTGAGAATGGTGAAGACTGGGCAGTGTTTCATTACATTGTACATAGGTCACTGTGAGTCAGAACTGACTCACCGAATCCTAACAACACAACAGTATTGTGATAATTGTTTGAAAATATTAATTATTCTAAAGCAGTCAGTCCCTCATTTACATTTTTCTTTCCTTTCCTCCATCAGCATTAAAAGAGAAATACTTCCACTGGTAAAATCGCTCTGCCAAGATGTGGAATATGAAGTTCGATCTTGTATGTGTCGGCAATTAGAAAATATAGCTCAGGGCATTGGGTAAGTTTCCTTTCAAAGACCTTTTGATGTGGTTTTATTTCTGGGTTGTGAGGTAAGCCTACTCTGTTGGGAGCCATTGAATACCTACGTTATATGATGTGTAAAAATGATCATAAGAACAGCTCCCACCCAATGGGGATTAAGAGATACAAGTGAACATACTTAACATTGTGATAGGTGTTTCGTTAGCATTCACATCTTTTCCTTCTAGGCTCATTAACTTCCCTCTAATTCCACATACCTAGACCCAGGAAGGGAAAGTGTCCCAATGTAAACCATGCTTGGAACGTGGCTGTGTTCGTTTTGGCTGCCAGCTCTATTACCGGGTCAGATGTGAGCATGTTCTGATGGGGCCTTTCTGTGTCTCCTGTGCAACTCCGGGCTTCGACCTGCTCCTGTGGTGCTCTGCTCACCTTTTGCCTGTGTGAAGCTCAAGGCATGCATAGGGTCGGCAATCTCTTCTTTCCCTATGAAATCGGGTCTGGGTAGCACAATACATACAGGAACCTGGGTCACACAAGCAATTTGTGATCAGCTGCTTATCCAAAGGTTGGCAGTTCGAAAACCATCCAGGGCCTCCACGGAAGATAGGCCTGGCAAAATGCTTGTGTAAAGATTACAAACATGACTGTCCCAGCGTTGTATCCTATGAACATCCCGTGTTCTACTCTGTAATGAATGGGGTTGCAGGAGTTGGGCACTGACTCGGTGGTCGTTAACAACAGCTGTATCTACATATACATATACATCCTAACTGTACACACACACCGTGTTTTTGGTATTATAACTCCCCCCC